GAACCAAGTGACAAGTGAGGCCCTGCTAGTGCCAAGTGGCAGTGAGAGGCTCTACCTATGATTTTGGCAGAGGGGATTCATGGCCACTTGAACATGGTGGCAGGATGTTGGCCTCTCGGTGACCGTAAGATTCAAAATGTGTGGCCGTGACTTGGGAAGCCCTAACTGTAGCCCTAAAGAAGGGCGAGCGAGGTGGCTAACTATGATTTGGTTGTGGGGCTGAACCTCCGTGTTGAGGTGGGGAGTAGACCTCGCAGGACCGGTGTATTACTTAGTATAGCTAAGGCCAGCGCCTAACCCTAAATGCCAGTTCCTGATGGGGCTTGTCTCCTTGAATATATGTAGATACTAACCTTGAGTATTGGTCCTATTGCTTTATACACACACACACACACACACACACTTCTGAACGGAACAAGGTATCCTAGGGATAAGATAGATGCTAGTGGAGTGCTTGTGTTCATTATAGCGATACATTACAATTTAAATCTACCTTATGTTAATTAGCGATACCTTAAGGTCATACTGTATGTTCTCTTAATCAACTTATGATTAAAAGGTAAAGGATCACTATATTGTCAGGAACACAAACATGTTATCCTGACCATGTAGTGTTAAACCCACCATTTAGGTGGCTTGCCCCCCCGAATGGGTTAAAACTCTCCACGAGTCTGCTGACGCTGGCCCCACCCCCTTGGGGATATCAAAATTGCCCATGCGGAAAGTATTGGATTGGCTAAAATTGGCAAGGGGGCAGGGCCAAACTGTTTTGGCCAATCAGCACCTCCTCATAGAGATGCATTGAATCAATGCATCTGTATGAGGAAATTTCAGCGTCCCCATGCAGTGCGCGGGGGCGCTGAACGGCAGAGCTGCTTACTGTGCAGCATTGAGCCAGGAAGAAACTCCAGTGGCCATGTGAAGAAACCACCCTGTTCCCTATGTTATTTACTGTTTGCATTCCCTTTTTATCTCCATTTCTGCCTATTGCATTCGGTAGATGGAACTACCGAACAAAGACCACCCCTGTGGCTCATTAAACATCAAAGTTTGGGTGAAATTGCTACCTCTGTCTGTGCGGCCAGCGATTGTTAGTCGAACGCCACGTGGCAGAGAAAACCGCGGCCATCTTTGTTCATGCGAACAAAGGCAGCGGGACCTGGTCGTCGAGTGCATGGAACTGAAAACAGACACTAGACTTCCCGAACACCGGTCCCAAACAGACGAACGCTGGAACTCTATTTACCGAATAGCTAGAAGAGCGCTATTCGGTACTTTGGTGTATTCGACAGAGGGGCACGAACGCTGCTAGGAGCCCAGAGGGATCCATTCGGTATTTTTATTCGTTTTTATGCTTTTTCGAAAGTGACCGGCAAAACCCACCAAATTCATGGAACTGTTTTGGGCATGCAGCCAAGGGTGAGACGGTCACAAGAGACTTCCATAAATTTTGCGAACCCCTGAACCGATCTGGGTGAAATTCGAATATGTTGGTCACCCAGATCAGGGCTATCAGGGGACACATAATTTATGGGGATACCCCCAGTATAAAGGGGTGTTCTGGATGTTGGGGAAAAAGGTGATTTTTCAGCCCGGAGATAATTAAGTTACTATTTTATCAGACTGAATTATCTCCTGGGCTAGGGGAGGGAATTGTAGGTGTGTGTGTGTTAACATTTTACGGTTTATGATTGGTTATTGTTTGTCCCTCCCTGAGCATAAAAGCTGTGTGCACCCATTAAAGGACAGTTCATTTTGTACCCTTCTTCTTGACTTCGGCTGATGTTTGGGGATTTGTGTGTTTCACTAAGGGAATTATCTGGTGAAGCTATTGGAATTTCTATAGGATTCGTCTACTCTATCTACCGAACGGAGGGCTATAATCACTAAGGCTCTGGCGGTTCGGGAGGAAACTACCGAATGAGGTTTGAATATACTTGGTTTCCTTACAGGCCACTTGGAGGTGTCCCTATGGGCAATGTAAACACAGCCTTTTCTCTGAAAAGACAGTGGTTACATGAAAATGCCAGCAGAGAGCCATTATACTCAAAACAACTACATTGAGCTGTATACTATACATTAAACTGTATACCGTACATTAAGATATATACTATACATTAAGATGTAGTTGTTCTGCTGACTATAGTGTCCCTTTAAGTTTTAATTGAATGACCTTCCGGCCAGGGCAATTAGCCATTCTTTCCTCTCCTCCAAACCCAACACCCCTATCAAACTAAAACCAAGGCCCCTATCAAACCTAGCATGGCTGGATCATAAATGCGTGATACAAGATGAATTTAACTGTATACAGTGAAAAGGAGCCTGTGGGTTAAAGGGACACTATAGTCACCAGAATATGGTCTTCAGGCATTTTCATGCAGACGCTGTAGAGAAAATGCAGTGTTTACATTGCCCCTAGGGACACCTCCAAATGGCCACTGGAGTTGCTTCCTGGCTCAGTGCTGCACAGTAGGCAGCCCTGCCGTTCAGCGTCTTCATACTCTGCATAGAGACGCTGAAATATCCTCATGGAGATGCATTGATTAAGGTATCTCTGTGAGGAGGTTCTGACTGGCCAAAACAATATTTGGCCCCGCCATTGCCGATTTTATCCCCATGGGAAAACATTAGATTGGCTAAAAAGTGGCAATTCCGATTAGGTCACCAAGAGGGTGGGGGCAGAGCCAGCACCAGGGCACCTGCGCGGCGCTGGAAATAAGGAGAGTTTGAATTCATTTTAAAGGGAGTTAAGGGGGGGGGGGGAAGAGAAACCACCTAAGGGTTTTGTACTATAGGATCAGGAATACATGGTTGTGTTCCTGACCCTATAATGTTCCTTTAAATATAAGCTAACCCGGAGGCTCCATGGTAGGGGGTAACCCTTAAAAGTAGTAATAGACCAAAAAACTAAAACAAAAAAACACTTAATTAAACCACAGTGGACGGCAGGTCACTGAAGTTTAGGATCTATGAAAGGGTGGGGTGGGGTGGGGGGGTGTAGCGGAGCGGCAATATTAAATTACATGATCTCCGCTGGTACAGAAGGTAATCCACAGTCAGTGCTGAAAAGTAACACAATATCCCAAATCCCCCAGTAACCGGACGAGACACAGTTCTGGGAGTCAACTGAGGTTTTTATTCACAGCATCCAGTATTTATGCAAGTCCCCATGCAAGGGGTTTCCATACTGACATAGCAGGGGTAATAAAGTAGGGGACTACATGGAGGACTTAACCTTCCGACCTTTTCTCCCATCAGGCACTGCTGGACGAGAGGGATACTCCCCCTGGAATATTATCCCTCCGTGCAGCAGAACCGACATTTCACATTAAAATATATAACTTTTACAATACTTGGGTGATTTAAACGAATGGACGTTCGGTAGATAGCTGGGGTCTGAGTGCACAGTTTGTGAGAATACCGCTCAGATCCCAGCTAAAACAACTGAACGCCGCACGAAATACACTTTGCCCATGAGTTCGCCTGAAACTACCGAACACCTATGGGAAACCGTAATAGGGGAATACCGGAGCTCCCGAACGGCCTGGAAGTCCAGCGGGGTTCGCGCCATCGAGTAGCCGTTTTCAGTTCCATGCACTCGACGACCAAACCCCGCTGGCGAGACAAAGGATCCAAGATGGCCGACCGCCGCGTGGTCCGTAGCCGAACGACGGCCACCTAGGAAAGCCTTTAATCACCGATTGCAACACTGTTGCAATCGGTTAACGAGCGCCACATGTCCCTCTGTGTGTGGGCTATTAGGGGGTAGCTCATTCGGTTCACGAACAGCCAGTAAAGTTGCTGTTCGTGAAACGAAGCACATGAATGCTAGCAGCTTTCGGCTGCTAGCATACGAATTCAAAGTACACATACATTAACATACATTGTACAGCCAGGTTATACAAGACATTACAGGGGTACTATAGGCAACCTTTTTATGTGCACAGTCCTGAATATTACAAGTGGCTAGGTTTTCCACAGTGGGGTTACAAAACAAGATACAAATGGTTGTTATTACACCTGGACCAATCAGATATGTGCTTGTGATAATACATACAGATACAAATGGTATGTTTAACCCCTGTAATCTATATGTCTAATTAATAGCATGTACACAGTAGTTCATTTTAAACCAAAGACACCATTAGAGAAGCAAGGAGAAACCCGGAAATAAAGGCTAAAGGAGTAGTGGGGACATGGGTGGGTAAAGGTAAGAGAAAGACAGAAAGGGGAATATTCACTAAACCTACATGGACATCAGCATTATGTAGGGATGCAGCAAAATTTCGGCTGCTGAAATTGTCGGCAAAAAATAAATAAAAAATATATATAATTTTGTAGTGCATAGTTTAACAGACATGCTTGAAATATCGTAATGATAACATGAAAAGGTGTGCGCACCTTGCGATGTGTCAAAATATTAACCTTTCACTCCCACCCCAATGACAGTCCCTGTCTCACTCCATCCCTCTAGAACGTGTCCTTTCTATTCTACACATTGGTTCCCCCTTTTGGTAGCCCACACTCCATCCTTCTCATCCTTTGTTTAGATGGGCACATCAGCCAAAGGTCCAACAATGTGGCTAAAAATGCAAAGGGGTGGGGGTGCTAAAGAAATGATCAGATAAGACTAACTGGAATAACTATATAACAAAAAAGCTTGGGGGGGGGGGGGCGTCCTATACATTACCCCCCAGCCGGAAAGTCTAGATTTACTGGTATTATGTACCATGAGATGCAGCCCTAGGGGGTATCCAGTCTGGGACAGTTAGTATTGGATACCACTAAACCTGAAGAGAATGGCATGTCCTTCCTGGTACACACCGTCCTAAGGCAGGATACAAACAGAATGCGCAGTAGACACCACGCTAAGAAACCAGTCAGCATTGACAAAAACTTTTACTTTTTATAATACTTTACTTCGAAGGAAAACAAGACAGCATGTCTGGAAAAAGGGAAGAACATGAAAGTCACTGACAGAAGGAAATAAGAAAATAAGAGAGGGGACAAGTAGACTGAAATGAAATGGGGCGAGGGGACAAGTAGACTGAAATGAAATGGGGAGAGGGGACAAGTAGACTGAAATGAAATGGGGCGAGGGGACAAGTAGACTGAAATGAAATGGGGAGAAGGGACAAGTAGACTGAAATGAAATGGGGAGAAGGGACAAGTAGACTGAAATGAAATGGGGAGAGGGGAGAAGTGTAGCAGACTTGTTCCCCTCTCCGTTCGGTTGTCCGTACCCTCCTTTTTCGTTTCCTGAATGAAGACTAGTTTCCCCCTTTTATACCCCCTGAACACCGACCACCCCCTGGCTTGTTAACTTCAAAGAAGTAATTAGCTCAAAGTACTTTCCCTGGGTGTCCACCATTCATATAACAAAAACCACATGCTCTAGTGAAGGGCTGCCATTTTGTCCCCCGAATGCAGGCAGCTGTACATTGTCATTGAGCATCTGGAACGCTTCTCGGATACGTGATCCCACAAACTCCGGGAGAAACTGTACCACTGCCTGCTCTGCTCACAGACTAGCTCTGTTTGAGAGAAAGATACTACCGACTGCAGGGAGCATTCGCTCCCTAAAAGCCAGGATGAGCATTCATTGTGGTTCGCACAGGAACTCCCGAAAGGAGAAAGGCCGCTGCCTCTTTTGCCCTGGAACTGTTTTGGGCTACCACCTAGTGGCTGGTCGGTCATAACTTTACCCGAATTGTGATTCTGTTCCACGAATAGATCTGATCGCTATATGGACAACTTGGGAGCTTAGATCTGGGCTAATTGGGGAAATAAGACGTGTGGGGTTCCGGTGTAGTTTGAATGTATTTTTGGGGTGTTTTGTATATTTTATGTATGGTTCCCTGTAACAGAGATAATTGAGTTACCGGTCTTTGACTCCGTTATCTCCCAGACAGAGGGACACCTGGGAGGGGTTTGTGCTGTATGGAGACCCCATGCTGTGGGACTGTGCAGAGTGTGGCACAATAAACCTCAGTTGTACTCCCAGAACTATCATCCAGTTACTGGGAAGGGATAGAGCTATTCACTTCACAGCGCCTTGTTCCAGTTACCACGAAAGAGCGGAGAAAAGTCCTTGTCAGGACTAGAACTGAAATAAAATGGGAAATGGGGAGAAGTAAACTAAAATAAAAAGGGGAGAGGGGAGAAGTAGGCTGAAATAAAAGGGGGGGGGGGAGTAGACAAAAAAAAGGGTGGAATAAGACTGAAATAAAAAGGGGAGAGGGGAGAAGTAGAATGAAATAAAATGGGGAGAGGGGAGAATTGTAGCAGACTATTCTCCTCTCCGATATATTATACAAGATAACACCCTATTTGATAAAGTGGAAAAAACACCCCATATGTGAGTAAAACCTTACAAGGTAATTTACCTATAAGGCAATCTTTAAAACTGTAGAATATATTAATTATATATATATATATCTCTCTCTCTCTCTCTCTATCAGGACTCCTCCCTTCATCTCTAACACATTTGATATGCCTACAATCAATACACGTTTGTGAGTGCAACTTGTGAATTACGTCTAGAAAGTGTGTTTACTGTACTACTAAGAGTTTTGTTCCCCTCTCCATTTGGTTGTCCGTACTCGCCTTGTTCGTTTGCCAAATTAAGACAAGTTTTCCCCTTTTATAACCCCCCCCCCAAACACAGATCAATCCCTGGCTTGTGCAACCACAAGACTGTACAAAGCAAAGCTTAAGGATTTCTTTACATGAGACAGATCAATGTAGTAACCCAGTAAGATGCATTGCAGGATTCAGAAATAAAAATACATATTACCCTATCCTATGGCGGCCATTTTAACTCACAGACACTGTTTGGACTTTTCAACACGGTGCCATCTCGCCAGTATTTGGTGCACAGAGACATCGTGCGGTGGTTTTAAACTATACAACAGGGGACACATTATACAGTAATTATTTTTCAGGCAGTTCTGCTTGACCTCAAAACGAAGTGTCGTCTCGTTATTTGGGGAATTGGATTGTATGCGGATTGCCAGGAGTGTAAGCTGATTGTATGCTTTTCCTGTTCAGCCGCTTACAGCATTCATGTGCTTGAGAGCATTCGTATGCTTCTCTGGTTCAGTGGTTGTGGTGTCTGCTGCAGTGCTTGGAGTTCTCAGGAAGCGCTAGGAGCATCCTTCAACAGAGGTACCCAGTCGGGGTGCCAGGTGATCCGTTACAAACCCCCACAAATATTATATTATAGCCTGGATCTGAGCACACAACATATCCAAATAGTGCTCAGATGCCGGAGTAATGTTTTGACCGACCGCAAATGTGGAATCTGCCCAAATCAGTTCCAGAGAATCAGTGGTAGCGGTTGATCATTTTCAGGAGTTCCAAACCGAACATCCAAAGACGAACAGCTCATAGGTAGCGACTGTTCGCCTT